CAATTTTCAGTTTAAGAAAAAACTAGCCGATAAGTTTTGAAGCTTGTCATGAACAATAAAACTTATGGTTAACTTTTTTAAAATTTTTTTTTAGTATTTTTTTTGAAGCTGACCAATTAATTGATTATAGATGATCTGCATTTCAAAACCCGATTTGGAAAATAAATTTATTATTATTATTATTATTATATACTTATGTAATACGCGTATGAAAAAAAATAAATTAAATTGGTAAATCACAGTAATATTTGGTAATATTTGTATTAACAAAACAATCTCAAAAAATAATAAATAAGTTAAATTCCTAAAATTGAATTTTTAAAAATAAAACCATTGTTTTATCTTTTTCGTTGAAACGCTTTGATAAAAGGCATCAAGTGCAGCTCCTTGATAAAAGATAACAATTGCGAAGCTTTGGTAAAAACCACGCTTTATCAACTTTAGTGAGTAAGCAAAGGTTTAGTACTGATGTTGGTTAACTAGCGAGAGCTAACGATTAGTAATGTAATTTGTTTGCGAAAGTTTAGGGCTAATGTTGGTTAACTACAACAGCTAGTGAATAATTGCTGTTGACTGGTAATATTATTGTAAAAGCAAGGCTGTTAAACGAGCTGCTTAAATTGTTTGTAAATAAACCAAAGCAAGTTTACAATCGGCCAAATAAATAAAAACAAGCGTAAATGACTGAAATAAATCAGTCACAAGTAGATAAAGGGACTTTATAGAAACCTTTGAGCTCTGTAAAAAAGCCATGTTGGTTTCCTTACACTTGTCTGGTACCATTAAACGTGCTTAAAGATTAACCAAAGCTTTCTAGGCACAAGGAAGAAGCAGGAGGCAATAACTAAAGTAAATTGGTAACTTATTAATTGACAAGCACCAAATTATAATCTATAGTTTGCGATTAGCTGATAAGAGTAACCCAAAAGTTAATCCATTGTCAACACACTTGTTAAATAATTGAGGAACTGTACATAACTTTAATAATATAGATGGTGTAGGTGATGTGCATTTCGTTAAAAAGAACTCTCGTGTCCATTTTATTGGAATATAAAAGTACAATTGTAAGCTTTATATTTAATATAAGTAACAGAAATGATATTAATACTTTGTCATTAATAATATATAATTTTATGCAGGTGTTCTTTATTACTTGTTTTGGTGGCAGTTATGATATTTGGTTTAAAAATGATATAATTCGCAATGATCCAAAGGCTCACAATGACATCAATACAGTAAATGACAATGATTTAAAAGAAAACATTACAATTAATTAACTTGACAAGGTTAAAAAAGAAAGTAATATGTATTTCATTTGATAATACAGAAAGCATGTAATGTGTATGAATTTTATTTCCATACATGTATGAAAATCCAGATCATACATACATATTAATATTAATACAGTAATACAAATAATAGAAAACAAGAAAATTATTTTAACTCGGACTTAATGATGAAAGGAGAATTACATGGTCAAGTTTTGAATAATTTGCTGCATGTAATCTAATTTCCCACCCACTACAAGAAATCGACTTATTATTATTTGAATTATGTTATTATTAACACAATCTTTAATAAAATTATAAATAATAGAAAACAAGAAAATTATTTTAACTCTGCAAATTATTTCTCAGGGCTTAATGATGACAGGAGAAATTACATGGTCAA